AAAAAAAAAAAAAAAAAAAAAAAAGTTCCCAAACTAGACTATTCCAGAATTTCTATAATTCAGACAACATTCTGTTGGGGGGATTGAAAGATTTTAGTACATTTTAAACCTGTTCCTCAGTAGGTCTTTTCATGTGAAAAGCAAGAAATCAGCTGAACACAGAACTGAAGCTTACCCAAACATTCAGAGCGGGTCATTCCTGTATTAATTAGGCTTCACACTCATCTATTGTGTTTGAAGGGCTGGTGCTTCCACTCTGGGGGTAATAGCTGGTGTCCATGAGTAGTCTCCACCATAACTGTCCGTTCTCCCTGGGAATTACATCTTCAGTGCCTTTATCCACAGAAAGCATGGAACTGTACAGTGAAAGCCTTCCCTTGAGTTCATCCTGATTGCAACCCTTGTTTGAACAGTTAGAGACAGTGCTGGTGAGGTCAGGTAGCATCACTAACACTCAGTGCTAGTGAGATTTCCAGGCAGTCCAACAAGGACCTTGGAGTTTTAGGGGAATTTTGCATGAAACGTTGAGTCACTGGGACAGCCAGCTGTCCCCTAAAAGGTGAAACAGATCTCCAGTCCCTGAAACTTTGACAGCTTGTTTCTGAACAACACCAAGCAGTGTGGCATGTGGTGGAGCTGGGGTCTTTCCTAGACTTGCTCTAGGAAAGAATGGAATCAGAGACATGAGACTACACAGTCCCAGTAGGCGGAGCCACCAATCTGCTGCACCACATTGAGTCATGCTAAATAAGGCTAATCAAGCCGAACCTCTGTCATTGACACTGATAGGAAACACACACTTGCAGTGAGAAAGGCCAAGGAAATGTAGTAAATACACATGGTGTGGCTGTGATTTGTAGATGTAACCAACCGTCTTATTAAATAAGAAACACGGAACCAATCCAAAGAAGAAAGCCAAGAAGTCAGAGCTAAGAGCTAAAAACCTTACCCTTCCTCTTGCAGTGGTCCTACCTCTCCGAAAGAGACCTACTTCCTGTGTGTCTGTCTTTATAAAGACTTTCTGTTCTGCCTTCTCATTGGTTGTAAACCCAACCACATGACCACCTCGTCATTGCCTGTCTGTACAGACCTCCAGGTCTTCTATGGTTGGTATTGAGATTAAAGGCGGGTGTCTCCAATGCTAGCTGTATCCTTGAACACACAGAGATCTGCCTAGCTCTGCCTACCAAGTTCTGGGATTAAAGGCGTGTACCACTACAACCGGCTTCTGTGATGGCTTGCTATTAGCTCTGACCCCCAGACAACTTTATTAACATACAAATCACATTTTAGTACAAATAAAATATCACCATAGTGATTGCTATCACATAACATCATGAAGCTCATGAGTTGACTTTCTTGTTGCTCTATGGCAGACACTTTGTAGACTCAGAGTTTGGCCAAGTGGGCTAGTCTACTTGGCCGGTGAGCCCCATGGACCCTCCTGCCTTCATCTCCCCTGGAGATTCCGAACACATAGCACCTCTCTTGCAGTTTTATTTGGGTCAGGGCATCAGACTCAGACTCAGGTACGCACATTTTTTTTTTTTTTTTTCCAGACAGGGTTTCTCTGTGTAGCTTTGGTGGCTGTCCTGGAACTCACTTGGTAGCCCAGGCTGGCCTCGAACTCACAGAGATCCACCTGGCTCTGCCTCCCGAGTGCTGGAATTAAAGGTGTGCGCCACCACCACCCGGCTCAGGTACGCACATTTGTAAGGCAATCACTTTATGGCTTTCTTCCCCAGCTCCCTAACCTAGCCTAACTTTAAATTTTAATGGACTCATAGGTAGGGTGTCTCATGCTTTGATCATGTTAGGCAAGCACTCCTAACTCTGAGCTGTAGCCTACCTAGCCTGGAGAAATCTTACGCAAACCTTTTTCTTGTCACTGGAGTTTTACTTAAAGCAGATTTTTTGATGTACAGAAGGGTATGTATTTGTGGATAGTTTGACTCACTTTTACTGTTTTGACCCGCAGCTTCATACATACAGGGCAGCTTCATACATACAGGGCAGCTTCACACATACAGGGCAGCTTCACACATACAGGGCAGCTTCATACATACAGGGCAGCTTCAAACATACAGGGCAGCTTCACACATACAGGGCAGCTTCACACATACAGGGCAGCTTCACACATACAGGGCAGCTTCATACATACAGGGCAGCTTCACACATACAGGGCAGCTTCATACATACAGGGCAGCTTCATACATACAGGGCAGCTAAACACATACAGGGCAGCTTCACACATACAGGGCAGCTTCATACATACAGGGCAAGTGCTGAGAAACAGCACTGAAGTCAGAGTCCATGCCAGCCTTGATGGTTTTCTAAACCTTGCATATTTTGTTAAGCTTAAAATATAACTTATGCATTGATTGGGATTTTTTTTTTTCGAGACAGGGTTTCTCTGTGTAGCTTTGTGCCTGTCCTGGATCTCGCTCTGTAGACCAGGCTGGCCTCGAACTCACAGAGAGTTCTGCTGGGATTAAAGGTGTGTGCCACCACCGCCTGGCTAATTGGGAGATTTTTAATGTCTTTTTATTAGAGAATTTCATGCACGTGTACAATGTATTTCGAACATCCACCCTGCACTCTCCATTCCACCTCCACCTAGACCCCTCCCCGCAGGTACGGCTGCCTACTTGCCTGCCTTCTGCTTCATAAGCCATTTTAGTGGGGCCCATATGCATATGGCTCCATCCAAGGTAGCACAGGGCAACCTACCAGTAACCACACCCCTAAAGAAAAATGACTCCCCGACCCTCCCTCAGCACCCACCAGCCGCCAGTAGCTCCTGGGCTGGGGCGAGGCCTTGCCAGCCGCCCTCCCCGACCCGTGCCCGCGCATCCGGTTCGGGATTTTGACTGGCTTGATCTTGTACAGGTCTTACAAGCAGGTGAGTTAAAGCTGTGAGTTCGAGTACAATAGCCATGTCACGTCCAGAAGAGCATT